TAGGAGATTTTCTGCCAGCTTACGTAAGAAGAGAGGAGAGCAGCTTCTTTTGGTCGGAGCAGAGTTTATGTGAGCAAAGATAAACCCATTGGTGGATGAAACCATTAGAAGAGTATTGCTCAATAAGCCTTGGTATTTTAATTTGGAGCAGAGCGTGTGTTGTGTTTGAAAAAGTATTGTGTGGGATGCAGTGCAAGGCCATGCTAGCAGTGTCTGCGAAAAGGAAAAACAATGAGGGGAGAATGATGAAGAACCTCAGAATAAAGCAGGGCGGGGTGGATGTCAAGGTCTGTTTGGGAAGTCATGTATGGCGGTATGAGTGCGAAGGCTGAGTGTTGGTTTACTGAGCCCCAGCTGGGCTCTAATCCGACTGACTTTCATAAACCTGACTGGGCAGAGCAGCCACAAGCATTGGCATTAGCACGAAAGAAGCACTGTGAGGCTGTGTACAAGCCAATCTTCTGTCATTACTAATCCTGTTACTCAGCTGTTTATTTAGTATCCTTAGTTTCTTGCCAAAGTCATCATCTCAACTTCATCAGTGAGAAAATAAAGAAAGCTCCATCTGAACACGTGGTAAAGTTTTATCGGGATATAAGTGACCTACTAGCATTTAAAAATAATGTGAAGATGATTAATTTTGCACTTTTAATTACTCTGCAGTAGCTTTTTCTTATCTCATTTAAAGTAAAACTGTCCCAAATATTCCTGGAAAGTAATAAAATGGACACAATTAGTGAGTAATTAGCAGAGAGACTTGGCCTGATATGTTAATACGTCACAATGATTCTCAGTTCAAAGTCTGGATGTGGAGGTAGGATCAGCTAGGCAGCCTCGGTGCACATGTCAGAACTCCACCTCAAAGCCAAATCAACTGCATTTACAGTATAATAACAGTGACATCATGCAGTTTTCCTAACTATCCCCTGAGTTATGGTGAGTCCAATTTGCCCTAAAATGCTTGCATACGTATGTACACACAGTCACATATATGAAGTTGTGCGAGCGCATGCACACACACACACACACACACACACACACACACACACACACACACACACACACACACACACACTTACTTCTCTACTGCGCTGTACACCCACAGTCTGTTAGCTTTTATCTTGTGCTGGGCAGTAGATGAGGACCATATGCAGCCTCAGTGCAATTATAGTGTGGTGAATTGGTAGGACAACAAGAGGGCGTTTTAACGGAGCAGTAAATGCAGGTAAGGGCCTGTATTAAGCCAGATCAGGTTCCACTGATGTTGTCAGCTGGAGACAGGCTCTCAGACAGCCTGTGAGTGTGTTTGTAGGTGAGTCCAAGCGTATGTGTTTGCATGCAGGCATGTTTTATGTGCATGTTTTGATTGAAATGTAGGTAATATTATATCAGAGGAAACAGTTACCTGTGTTTCTTTGAGGAGCAGTTTTGGTTACCGGCAATGTGACTTTCTTCATAAGTATATGACACACGCATATGTAATTTACCTGTCTAAATGGCTGAAGGAAATTGCATGTGATCCATAATGGTTATGGGGATATGACCCCACCAGGCTTTTTTTATTTTCTAGTGTCTGATAGGTGAAAGGTCAATCTCTAAATTGTTTGTCTGCAGCCCTATAATGCTGACTCCCAAGGGAGGCTCGGCTTAACCCACACCAATCCTAAATCACCATTGTATTTAGTTTTTTTCTAAAGTTAAGAAAAATAAAAGTATTACAGTAAAAAGTAAATAAAATCAATAATTAATATTAATGTTTGCTAATTAGGTTTGTGTAACAAATGTCCAGTGGTAGAGGTATTTCATGGAAAGCAGAGATACCACAGTGCAAGTAAAAGTTCTGTATTCAAAAATTGTTATCATTAAACATTAGGAATAAAAATCTAAATATACTGACGAATATTAATTGAAAATATTAATTGTGATGAATGCATAATTTCATAAAAATTTAATCTAGTAAAATTTGCTTGTGTATTGAAGGATTATTGCTATTAAAAACTAACCTTAAATAGTAATTTGAAGTGCACTACTTTGATCAAATGTATTACCTACGACATAAACCCTTTGAAAGAATCCAAAGCTGCTTGATTAATGTAAAGAAAAATGTATAAAGTACAACAAAGGAGTAATTATGTCCAAATCTGCTTACTTTTTCATCACTGTAGACTACTTTTTTTGCCACGTCTTCCTGATACTTGAGCATGCTCATCTGATATTTAAAATGAGCTGCAATCAACTGCCAAGAGCATTTTGTTAATATTGTACGGAAGCAACAGATTTATGCACCATTACCTGCAAATGCTGTATCAGTCTATTGATTCTGGACTATTTAGGAGTTTAATCCACATTTATGTTCATACGTTGGTTATTTTTCAGAATTTGGTGAAAATAGAAGGAACACAATAGCCAGCTGCAGGGGAAGTTCTGGTGGTTTGGTGGTGAGGAGGGAATCCAGGCACAGTGTAATCATTGCTCACATGTCAATCCAGACTGATCAGCTCTGTCACTGCTTTTGGATGGAAACAGTTTTTTCTTCCCTGTGCGGAAAGCAGAAGCGGTCAGCCACAGCTGCCCTTTTCCTGTCTTTGTTGTTAAATGACAGAAATATTTAGAATCTGTTTTCCATTTTAGTTATGTTTATTTGAAAATGGGTCATCCGAAATGAAATTTCTTCTGCTGAATGAAAACTCGATCACAGCTTTTTTTTGTTTTGTTTTTTTAGGCTCAAACTGATTTCAAAACATTTTAAAATGTAGGAGTTGTGGTATTTTAAAATTATGCATGTCAGAGAAAACAGACATAAATGTTCAGTGACTAAAACATGTATTCCCAGCCGTAACTTCAGAAGATTTTTTTATTTGAGTTTGCTGAGGAGAAACCACATTTCTTTTTTCATTTGTTTAACCAATGTATCCACATGGTACTCATGTACATTTCCATAGAAGTTATAAAACCAAGATGCTTTTGCAAACTCGAGTTCAGAGATTGACACTTAAACTACACTAAAATATGTCTGTACACAGCTATAGATATTTATCTTGTCTAATGTGTCTTCTTTTGTACCCATATGTGATCACTAATAGTAAATAAAAGTACAGGAAAAATGAGCTGCAGTGAGTGCAAATGAGTTCTTATATTAGCATATAAGTGTCAATGGACACTTGCAGATAAGTGTTTCAGTAGAAATCACTGTAACCCATTACATTCCTGGGAACAGTTTAACTGTCATAAAAATTTGTTTTAAAGAAAACCAAACATTGCACAGTAAAGATTAATGATTAATTCTCACCCGAGAGGTGATGCTATATGAGGCTTTTTAGAACGGAGGCTTCGTAATTCACAGGTTCTGTCTGCATTTAGAAACTCAAGGACAAAGCAAGAAAAGTGAGAGGGAAGACTAATTATTGGAGGCAGGTGTGGTATAATGTGTCATAAACAAATGAGGAAAAAGAGAGCGACTGAACAAAGGGTACAAAGATAGAAATGTCAAACATTAGCGTGTGCCAAGTCATCTGTTGTTGTCTTTTGATGGTTATGACACATGTGATAATTAACAAAAGCTTAGTGGAAGGCATTTACAACAAATCACACTACCTTGATTCTTTGACAGTTTTCATGTGGGTTTAGAAAAACTTTTCCCAGAAAACAAGTTTGTCTCATTCTTTGAAAAACCTTGGTGGATTTTCTCTTTTTAAATTGCCTCCATTTACTGTGAAGCCACAGTTAGTGCACAGTAGAGCAAGCTTTCACCATATCGCTGACATTTGTTGTTATGAGATGAATTTATGCTTTGAAAGCTTCTTTATTAGGATCCTTAGGGTCATACAGTATACAAAGGATCTTAGATGAGAGCTGACCGCTGACCTCCTCTTGAACTTCAGTAGAGATAACTTTGTTTAGAAGAGATGGCAGTAGGTTCACTAGAAACCGCTGCAGTCAATCAGTATGTTTAGTAATCTGATTCGCTGCTGCAGGGATGAACGAGTGCCCTGCTGCTGAACTGGAGTGCACACGTCTGACCTGTTATGCCAAATATTTGCTCTACATTTCATCTCAACATTTTCCTAACAAATGTGAAATTATTTTGAAGTCCAAGTCATAACGATCATTGGCATATTGACAATATGTCTTGTAAGCTAGTGGCTCTCAAACTGTGGGGTGGGCCCTCTTTTGGGGGCAAAGGGCCACTGCAGGGTGCTATTGATGACCTGGGGGAGTTATGGAGTAAAACACAGTTGAATGAATAGAACTTTTGTAAGGAAATTACAATGTATCTATATTTAACTAAAGTTAACAATTATGTTGCGTGGGCCATAAACTTTTTTCACTGTTGGAAAGGTGTTACGCCAGAACCTGAAGGCATCACAGTCGAATGAAATCCGCACTTTTTTAAAAAACAAACTTGATATTTATATAAAGCCTACTGTAAATTGATGTTGTATCTAGTTGTTGCATATGTCTCTCCATGTTTTATCTTAATTAAAACTGTGATAAGGAAAACATCAAATGCTTTAAAATGTAAAGGATGACAAAATAAAATTCAAGATTTATTCATATTTATGTGATGTTGGTTTAAGTATTGTTCTGATTTCACATTTTTACATTATATATGAAAAGTTTTATATTGCCGTATTTTTTATTTTGCAATTGCAATAAAACAAAGTAAAGGGATCTCTCAGAATTAATTCTGAAACACTTTGCAAAACACTTTGTTAAGAAATGAATTGATTTGCTATTAACTGGGTGGCCATGTCAAAGAGGTAAGTGGAAAGCTGCAGCTTTTATCACCTTCATTGACATACCATATGAGTACTTCACAGTGGTTTTGTGGTGAATGTTACAGCTGCATTTTGTAGTGACCATGTGTTTACTGCTGCCTGGGAGATAAAGAACAGCCACAAGCCAACACTGGCCGTGGTTAGGGTTTTTCTATTCTAGCAGCCACTGTGGCAAGAAACTGGCTATCATCTGGAGGAACGGCTGTACAAGAAAAGATTTTTAAAAAGTACAATTTGGCTGCAAAGCCTGAGAAAAACATCTGTATATTTGCTGTAATGCTGTTCAATACTGAAACCTATTTAGATTAAATTGATTACCCAACTGTTTCCTTTACCGTATGCTGCATTTTATGCTATGGACACAATACTGTTTTATACAATTTAAAACAAAATATGTCAAGGGGACTGGAATTTCCCTTGATATGTGTATTATATGAATTAAATATCTCATAAAATGTACAAAAACAAACATGACTTCTAAAATTTCTGAAACGGTCCCTTTTAACCGATTTCCATATAAGAGTAAACTAGCTAGCAATCAACTTTAAAGATATCAAGCTCAGACTGAATACTATATTTTGATTTTAAAAACACTTTATAGCTTCCTTATAGCTGATGTTGTCTGTTTCTCTACTGGGGTTTCCTGGTTTATTACCACTAGGCTATGCTGTGCTCCCAGGCCTCTCTCTGCTCCGGCCTAAACTCACACCCATCCAGAAAAAGATGAGTCTTCACACCTCTTCTGCAGCCTTGCCTCACTCCTCCCTTCCTATCACTCTGTTTCCCCCCTCCTGGTTTTATAGCTTAGCTCCAACACCCAGCTTTTTCCACTCGCCCTCTTCTCATCGTCATCCTTCATTTCTCTGCTTTGCCGCTCTCCTTTCTTCTCACTTTCCCTCCCTCCCTCTCTTTCTCCCTCTCTTAGGTGCTGATCAATTCACAGTCTCCCTGGGAGGTGTGAGAAAAGCCCCCGCTCATCCTCACCCATCCACCCGCAGCCACCCTTACCCCTCCAACCCTGAATGGATCACCTTTCAGATCATTCATCCCTGGATTTTTTTTTTTTTTTTTTGGGTTACAGGGAGTGGGGAGTTCAAGTGATGATGATGATGCCGATGATACTCTTTTCCTCCTGTTCTTCAGTTTCTCCTGTCCTCCTTTTTCACTTCATCATGTCTCTTCCTCTCTCTGCAAAAGTGTCTGCGACACCATTAGCACACCTGAAATAATAGTGCCGGTGACAAATGCTGCTGGAAGGGCTGGTTGAGAGAGACGCTGAGAGGGAAAGACAGAAAGAGGGAGAGAGTTAAGGAGGTGTGTCTGTGTGTGATAGAGCGGTGAGCTTTCTATCTGCCTGTGGTGTTAATTCAGATTCTGCAGCCCTTCAGAGTAAAAGTGGAGCTGCTGACCTGGTGACCAATGGCACAATGTGAAAATTGACGGGCAGCATTACAGGAACCTGTTCTCTCTGTGTTTGCGCACTTGAACGCACATGTTTAGAGGTTTATATGCCATATGTAAGAGTGCATCTATTTTCACACACTTCTCACTGTATAGGAAAACAGCTGTTTATCACATTATGTATCCATAAGTGTTATGCAGTTTGAGTGTGAGATCCAAGGTGCTCTTGTGTCAGTTCTTGATCAGTCATTTGCAGTTGTTTATCATTCATCCACATGCTAATATTAATTATGCATTGCCATCAACGCAATTCATAGAGAAAGCAGTAGCAGTTCCCTTAGTGTTGAAATTTGATGAAGCTTTGAATATCTTTCTACATTTTGAAAATTAGAATCTTACACCTAGTAACATCTTGATGTAGACGGTTTATTAAAAAACACAGCTGAGTGATTTCTGCACAACATTTTATCTAAGGTTTGAATACTGAAAGTGTTGATTTGTTATGTTTAAGACTTTATTTGAAAAGTGTTTCTCTTAAAATGTTAAAATGTTACCCGTGACACTTTGACAATAAATGAGCAGATCTGGTTCATGTAATATCAACATTTCTAATCCACCTTAAAATAAAACAACCACTCTATAATCAGTGACAACGCACCAAAATCCTTCTCACACCGTTATATATTTTATTAACATATTAAGTTATTCACATAAATAATGACAAGAAATATGACAACTCACTTCTTTATAGAGTCAAACAATTTTATTCTGCCTTTAGTCCAACGTTTGGACCATAAAGTGCTCACAGTGCAACAGAAGAACGCGTGAAATTTAATAGAGCCTTTACGCTGCGCGACTTTAGTATGTTATTTGAATGATCTGGTCAGGAATCTTCCCGTCCTTCTGCATCACATGTAATTTCCAACAACTCCGGTAGAAGGCGCAAATGATTAAGCATTAATGTGTGTGAGAGGCGAGAGCAGCTGAGATTAACATTTGGGCCAAAGCGCAGGATCCAGCAGGAGTGAATACTCCCTGAGCTGATTTCATGGTTTGAAATTAATATTGCGAATCGTTTAAATACTGTGATCATACCAAAGTCAAGCTTATATCATTACCTAAGCCAAAGTATTTACCAAGATGTTTGGGCACCTTAATTATACTGCAAACATATTAGTGTCACTCTAGAAAGAAAAGCACCAAGCTTTCACATAAATCACAGCCCAAACACGCTTACAATGATTAAAACGAACTGTAGACCATATAAAAACAAATGCTGCACTTTCATATATGATCAGTATTTTATAAACGATGCTGGATAATGTGTGTATAATAAATTAGCCTTTTTATAATGAGTCATACCTGCATGTTACATCATATTATTTCTTGTTGCACTAACGTTTTAATCAGATATAAGCAAAATAAATGATTTACTTGTATAAAAAAATGAGTGCCTTTTTCTGACTGAATAGTTTCTAACCGGAGCTCACAGAACCCAATTACGCCCTAATGTATCCTGTTGGGTTTTCTGACAGGCGTTAATAAACTAGTAGTTTCATAAAATTAGATAAACTGTGAAAACTTTGCAGCAGGTCTGTCTGTGTTCTGAAGCAGTGACACAAAGCAGAGAGGCTCAATGGCCTTTTTGCAGATCCCAACATGTTTAGGCGCAAAGCTGCGGAGCTGCAAAAAGTTTGACCTCAGTTTGACTCCGCAGGCTGCCAGTTGCTCCTTGTTTTTTCAAACAGCTACAGACAAGCAGTGATACAAGGGATCACCAAGAGCCAAGCGATGATTCATATCTCTGACCTGGAGGGGTTTAGTTTGTTATTTATTAGGCTAAGATTCAAATTAGTCATTTTTCTCTCTTTACATATTTACATAAAAAGCGAAAAATAATCGCGATTAACTTGACATAGTTTGGAATAAATGCTTTGGATACTCCTTCTCTGCATTTTGAGTTTTAACCGAATTAAGTATAGCGTGTGTTTGTAGTGCATAAGGTGTGCAGTTTCTCTTTGTGTTCACTCTGCACGAGTCAAGACGCAGAGGCCGTCTAACAACGCTTTCATTTGTTTCCGCAGTCAAACATGCTGTCAATTTGCATTCAGTGGTTTGAAAGTAATACCTGCTGATTTTATTGAAACGACTCAAAGCATTATCGTCATCGCAAAGCGGATTAAACAGAAGTGACGGTATTTGCCCCCCTGCTCTCTTTCAGGATACCAAAATGCGCTGACCCTAACGAAGGAACAGCTCCGAGAGAGAAAGTGGAGCTCCAGTTTGCTTTTATGGATACTAATTGACGTAGCTTAATTGCTTTATAATGCTATAGTTTTTTTTAAGTGAACAAGTGCTAATGTGACCCCCTTTCATGTTGATTTAACCTTACTTCTTCCCAATGACTCGCGAAAATTCCGTGTAGGTGAGCTGCATTATAATCTTTTGTATTCCAATAAATATAAATTTAGCTGAAAGCTGATTTTAACCGCAACATTCTCTTTAATTAGTAATAACTGAACGTGAATATTCATGTGGCATTCTTACAACTAATTATTTGCTTTGCCGTAAAATGAAGAAGAAAATGCGAAAATGAGAACTTCTACTCACCATTAAATAAATAAATCAGCAAAGTGGACGAAAACAAGTCAGCACAGTTTATTATTTGATCCCGTGTTCTGTGCGTAAAAGTCCGTGCCTTCTGGCTTCCCTGTGTCCGTGCCTCGAAGCCTCAGCGGCCAGACTGCGGGAGCCTTTGATAGTCATTTCATGCCTGTAAAACTGTCCCATCGGATCCTAACGCTCGGGTTTTACCACAGGAATCACCGCTGAATGTGTGAAGCCGCATTATCGTATTATGACACCGTTTCTGGCATCGGGGCAGATGATCGATGACTGGACTCACTGCACGGGGAAAAAAGAAGAGGGGTGAAAAAACTTAAAGCAGGCTGTCACAGACCAGCAACACCTTAACGCCTCATGAGCATAATCAGGAGATAAAATGGATCTTTTAGACACTCTCCATTCACGTGTGATGGGCTGAAAAATAAATGAAAAAGTTGTGTCGGTCATCGTCATGTGACAAAGAGTGACAAAATCTGCAAATATCCTTTTGTAACTTCAGGGGGAAAAAACTAATAGCTTATCTCTTAAAACTAATCATGTCCACCTTAATCCGTTTTTATTATATTTCTTCATATGCCACGGAATATCTCATTAATATTTATGTAGAAATAGGTAATCAAAGTTCATTTTTAATTAAAAAATATCAGCTAAATTAAATAAGATTTGTAGTTCTTCTCCTCCCGGTGAGGAATCATATATAATAAGATAAAATAGAAAATTCAAACAATTTGGTTAATTTATACCCAGACATTATTCAGTGGTATCATTACTTTTCTGAAATTCCTCAAGAATCCAAGTTCCCTTTCATATATTAAAGCTCATAAATATTTGACCAAACTTTTATAATCTCTGTACGGCAAATCGTGAAACTCAAGTGAACGCTTCATTATAAAAAAGACAAAAGTTAAATTAATAAGGACTCCGAGAGGAGAGACATTATCATATCTTAGGAGTAGTTCTGTTTGGTTAGGGAAAGTTAAGTGAAAGTGTAAGTGCGTTTAGAGGGACGTAATTAAGTTGGAGATGTGAAAATTTGTGTGTGTTTGGTAGGGGGGTAAATGGAAAGGTAGAGAGGAAAGGGGGTGTCTTGGTCAGATATTTTGAGTTTTGGCTAAATTGCGCACAGTATAAGCTGACAGAAGCGTAAAGTGTGTGTTATGTATCCGCGGCCGACTTTTTGTTTTGCACCTCCTCGCCAATGTGGCCTAAAACCGATCAATCAGCTCGGGATCGATCATGTGGGGAGCCAATAGGGGGCTCCCATCTCTTTGCCTCCCTGCCATTGGACAGCCCGGGCTGACTGGAGCGACCCATTCGGCACTACTGTGGGGGAGAAAAGTGGATAACGTTTACTGTTATTTAGACATAAAAGATGCTTTGACGACGACTTAAATGTTTTATATACTTATTTCAGTATCCCCTTTTCTCATGACGACTCTCATCAACATCCGGAGTAATTAAGCTGCTTTCGTTTGAAAAGCAACCAACTTTTAAAATAAGTATAAATGTTCCAAATGACGTGTTTAAAGTTGCTTTGTTGTTCTTTCTATTTAGACTGGACAATTTCTCCAAGGTTTTTATATGTTGTTTGCTTCTAGTCTTTCAGTTATAAAATCAAACATGGGAAGCAAATCGACTGCACAGAAGTCGAGCTGCAAGGCCGAAAACCTGCAAAACTGGATGTTTGGCTGCAGTGGATTTCATGCATAAAGAATGATGACAGCCTCTCAGAGGCTTCGGTTGACTGCAACATTACTGGGATGAGCTCGACTTATTTTATTCTACAGCTCATTTTCTTTCATTATAAAAATATTATTAACTTACAGGCTCTTAATAACGTACCTGAGAACAGCTCACTTCAGAGTAGAAAGTTGGTTCAGTAACTCGTTTACAAACTATAAGAAGAGAAGTGGGTGCTGGACGTGTCAGTCCCGAATTCACGTGTTTTCCAGACTGCAGAATAAAGTCAGTTTGTGAGGATGAGACATGAAGTCGAAGTCATAGATGAATATTCTGTGTTTAGTGTTGTTCCAGCTCGCAGTGCGGCTGGCTGGCTGGGCTCACAGGGTCCTCCCACCCCCCCTCCTCTCCGCACGACTTGCTGCAGCCCGGTGCGTTGTGTAAGAGACGCGACCTGTTATGGCCACCACTACTTCCGGGTTTCGGCAGTCTGGTCCAGATCCTCCGCTCCTCCTCAGCTCAACACACACATCCATTGTACACAAACGGGCAGGCGGCTCACGCATACACACGCACTCACACACATGCAGACGCATACACGCGCACAGCATCGATCGTGGCTCCTTTAAGAAAGCCTAAGCCAGAATTATCACCCCACCTCCTCTTGATCTCCTCTAGACGCTTTTGCATAAGAAAATCAAGCCGGGAGCCGAGAGTGATCAAAGAAAACGAGGGGAGAGCTGCTTCATTTTTTAACTGTGATTGTGACCATTAACATTTAGGTGGTGCCGATCCCGTGGAGACGCACGTCGGACCATCATTCATCCGGTACTTTTGACAAGCCCTCGCGTTTTGACTGACAGGCGGAGTGGCAAAAAGCCATGAGAGTCGCCAGTTTTGTTTGAGGGGCTTTTTTATTTTCATCCTGGTTTTGGAAAAGGAGCCCGGTGCTGCTGCCCCGAGGATAGCCGAGGACCTATTTGCCGCGCCTGGGCTAAACTTGCACAGAAAGCGGGAGCTGGCTTCATCGTTCCGTGGAAAAAAAGAAAAGGCAAACGGGATTTTGGCTGAAACATCTTCTCATTTATTTGGATTTTCTTTCTTTATTTCGTCTCCACCCTGGCCGCAGAGGGGATTTACCTAAAGTGAAAGGACGATCAGGGAGTGAGGAGGGTTATGGCGCAACGGGTACGTAGGGCAATCCCCCCTAAAAAGTTTCTCCAAGTCTGCTGCGCTTGAATGCTATGCTGCGCTGTAACGTGGCTTAATGACACACATACCCACACGGACACACATTCGCGGCGAAAGTTTCTGTCGTCTTTCTGACACACGAAGGGACGGTTTCATGTTTGGCGTGTTTTTGGACCGGTATTACGCACGGTCGCTCTCGTTTGTCCCACAAACCGGCCCACTGAGAGACACTGGGAGCGTGATCATATCTCACATTGGCTGTGTTTTTTAGATTAGTTATGACAGGCCAGTTACTGGAAGCAAAATGGGGGAGGGCATGGAGGCAAAACAAATCTCTACTTTTCTCTGTTGACTGCTCCATCAAGCTTACTTATCGAGTATTTACGATCAAAATAAAAATTCCGTCGGTTGTTCGTCAATCGACGGCACGTCGTAGAATGTGTTTAAATATGCAAAAAATAAGCCTCGAGCAAGTAAGGCACTTTTCCCCTAATAACGAGGTGATGACAAACGCTCTGATTCGCACAATCCAGGGACTTCTTTTCTTTAGAGCAGCAGCTGAATCTTCACACGGATAATAAACAGCGTAAAAGCGGGGATGTTAGGGACACTGGACACATTTAGCTGCAGAATTTGGCACTGGGGCTACACCACGCTGGGGTTTGCACCTCTTTGCCTTTAGGCTCGACATGCTCAGCCTTAAGTGATAATGCATTTTACTCTTCCACCGGCACTTGTTTGTCACGTCTAAAAGAACGTCATTAATATTTCAAGCATATTTTCTTGTATATGAAAAAAGCTAACCTCAAATAAGTTGCTTAATTTGACCTTTCTCAGACCAGAAGCAACATTTCTGAGTAGTTACAAACCAAAACGTAAAGGCTGGGTGGTAAATTCACTCAAAAGCGACGCATGAAAAAAGTTTTAATATTCACCTTCGGTTAACAACACGAAAAACAGCACGCAACTTGTGTTGTTTAGTTTTGTTTGCACTAATCATAGCGTGCTTGATAAGTAAGAACATGCTGCACAGTTACGAGCCTTTAAAATGAGAAACGCCGCAATTAACAACTTTAAGACTTTTGTTGTTGTACACTGTGACAACACAGGACTCCGGGTTTATGGTGTTAAAGCCCAACAACCGCCTGGTTAATGGCGATAATAATAACCGAGCCGTGTTGCTACAGTTTTTGTACTCCCAGTAATTTCGAACATATTGAATAATTCATATGTGTTTTTCCTCCGGGCTTCAAGGGTCACTGGGAATGAGACGAGAACAAAAACTAGCTTGCACTTCAGAATTATCAGTGCAGTTTTCTTACTGGAGACAACTCAGTTTTAGACTCAAGTCTTTAAAACTTTCTCTGATTATAAAATCAAAAACACAGACGTGAATTTGTCTCTCTTTTGCTTTACATTTCTTTTTTTCTCCCCTCCTCAATTTTTAAGAACATTTATTTTTAAAAGGGCAGCTAAGCGTATGTGTACCTGAAAATTTTGGATTTTTTTTTAAAAACACGTTCTTAATTTTGTAAAATTAATTAAATTATTTCTTCAGTTTGACCGAACTTTTTCTTAGAAGAAAAAAAACAACACTACAAGTGTCACTTCGCCTGCTACTCACTTTTACACTTCGCTGTTTTTACACTAAAAGTTTTAATCAGTCTAATATAGTCTTGTACGTCTATATTCACTGTTGACCCGGGTGTTTGTTGTGTGCAGTACGAAGACTTGCCCCACTACGGGATGGACGGTGTGGGCATCCCGACCACCATGTACGGAGACCCGCACGGCGCCCGGTCCATGCAGGCGGTTCACCTCAACCACGGTCCCCAGATGCACACTCACCAGTACCCGCACACCGCCCACACCAACACCATGCCTCCTAGTATGGGCTCCTCCGTTAACGACGCTCTCAAGAGAGATAAAGACGCTATATACGGGTAGGTGCACGCCTTCGTTCCGTGGGGAAACTCACTCTGTCGGGCAGGCGTGTAACCAGGCCTGGAGGGGCCAGCTGGGGTGGGCAAGTGGGTGCAAAATCAGCCTCGTACAAAAGAAAACACAGGCTCGATGCCAGGGACAGCAATCTGTCCCGGTGAAGAGTTTAAGACACACTGGAACCCAAACTGATGCAGAGGCGCTGGGGAGGAGAGAGGCTAAGCGGGCTTCTCCTGCTCTTTTATTTTTTGGCATAATTTGGAGTGTTGTACTTTTCAGTCCAGTCATGTCTGTTGCGTTTTTCTATTCGGTGAAAGATATAGCAATATTTTTTGTACTTGGAAGACTCGCCAATCTCCCGTTGTTCCAATTACTTTTTGACTTGAATATTTCTGAAACAAGCTCACCTATACGCAGAGCCTTTTCCACCCCCAAGTTTTCCCGCTTATATTCCATTTAAAGCTCTGCCGTTTATTATAAGTAAAAAAAAGTACAAATAAAAATAGATTCTGCTTTTTAACATTTTGAATTAATTGTATTAATTTTCAAAGCTTCAGCAAATTAAAAAAACTGTTCAAAGAAAATCATTTATTAATTTACGTGAGTTTATTAAAATCTAAGAAGAGCGTTTTCAGGCCAGTTGCAGTTTTACCACCTTTTGCCACAGTGGCACAACTTCAGGTTGCGCGTTCACCTCCGCATTACCAGGCTGCACATATTTATTCTAAGGACTTGAGCAATAAATAATAAATGTGTGCACATTTAACCGTCGAGTTTTTTTTTCATTCTTTTTCTTTGCCAAACAAACACACGCCTGTGATGCAAACGGAGACCTGTGCAAGAAATTGTTTGACAGATTCTAAAGCTTTTATGCTATTAGGCGCGCCTAGATTTAATCACAAAAGTCTGTCCGCTGTTTGAAGCCTTTCTCCGAGCCTCTGCATAATATAATAGCATGGGCTGCAGCAGCAGCAGTCCCCATGGGTGAGTTGTTGAAGAGTACCATGGCTGGCTAAATCTAGCCTGGAGTAGTCTTGACCCCGGCGCTGTTCTCTCTGGTGACATTTGCTATTGTGTGTGTTCCCAGGCACCCCCTGTTCCCCTTGCTTGCACTGATTTTTGAGAAATGTGAATTAGCGACTTGCACCCCAAGAGAGCCCGGGGTGGCGGGAGGAGACGTTTGTTCATCGGAATCTTTCAATGAAGACATAGCAGTGTTTGCAAAACAGGTCAGGAAACTTTGACTCTTCTTAATCTGCATGCTCGAGCAGCGTGAGCTCTCACCTGACAGTCCGAAATGTGCAATTCTGGCTTTTGTGCTTACACTTAATTCTGCACTGAAATGAATTAAAGAGACATCTACCATTCAAATTAACGCGATTTTTACAATGTTCTAATTTCATATTGTGCACTGTCTTTGCGAAGAAGTAACTAATGTTCCGTTTAATGCGTGTATGTGAATTTAATATTACATTATATGTTAAAAATATCAGTGTGACGTTTTCTATTCATATATTTTATAAAGAAATGTTTTGGGTTTTAGATTCGGGCAGAAAAACCTTTATTTTCATCGAATCCAGAATTGGATAATCTGGTAAGCTCTATATTTTATTATTGCACAAATGACATTTTCTGCATTTTCGTACTGCATTTTTGAATATGCCAGCTGTTGTTTGGATGTGGCGGGCTTTTCATCTGTGTCAGGCAGCCACGTGGTGCTGAAAAGTTAAAGCAGGATTGCAGCTGATATCCCTTTTTTTGGGCTGTTTGATATCATGATGGCCCCCGGTTGTATCTGCAGATGAAGGGCTGCTGTCAGACAGCTGTCACACACCTTTGAACCCTGCCTGGAAACTTATTCTATTCAGTCTTTCCACTTTGTTCAGTTTGATACTTTAAATGTAATGTTAGAGTAACGCTTCCCCTCGACTAGTTGGTGACTAATAGATCTCTGACTCTGAGGCTTATTGCAGCTTCAGTCTGTACTGTACGCCTGCTCTCCATATTGCAATAACATCCAAGTTTAATATCAGTTCCACATAAAATCCATTCACATGAATATTTTCCTCATCTACAGTTACTTGTATTGAGAAAAACGCGTCTGTTTAATATCAAGAGATGTGAACAGCTCATTTTTTATTGTTATTTTAATTTTTCAGATGATTCAAGCCATTCAAGTTTTACGATTTCATCTTCTGGAGCTGGAGAAGGTAATATTCTCTCGCCATTTCTGTCCACTGTGCCACTTCAGACCTATGGGCTGTATTTGCATAAA